GAGAGAGAGAGAGGTGGCGACCTGCACGGAGGGCCGCGGCGAGCTCGCCGCCTCTCTCTCTCTTTTTCTCTCATTTAAAAAAAACGAAAACGGGAATGAATCTTCCCGCTTCCACGGGAAGATCCATTCCCCTTTTATGGAATAGACACGGGAAACGCCGGCGCGTGAGAGAAAGAGGGAGAGAGAGAGAGAGTTCAGCAACGGGAATGCATCTTCTCGCGAAAGCCGGAAGATTCATTCTCGTTTTCGTTTTCAAAACGGGGGGGAGAGAGAGAGAGAGAGGGGGACAGAGGGCCGCGGCGAACTCGCCCCCCCCCCCCACCCTCTCTCTCTCTCTCTCATTTCAAAAAAACGAAAACGGGAATGAATCCTCCCGCTTTCACGGGAATAGACACTGAAAAAGCAGGCGCGCGAGTGAGAGAGAGAGAGAGAGAGAGAGAGAGGCGGCGACCTGCACGGAGGGCCGCGGCGAATTTGCCGCCTCTCTCTCTCTCTCTCTCTCTCTCTCTTGTTTTGGAAAAGGAAATCTAGAGAGAATCTTTCGCGTGAACATGCAAAGGTACACCGCCTTGATTATTGATAATTTATTGTCTTTTGTGAGGTAACTGTTTTTTTTTTTACTTTTTCCATGTTTTTTATACTCCCATTTTTTTGTCGTTTTTGTGTGTGTGTTTTCTTTTTTTTTTCTGTTATTTTTTTTGGGTTCTTCTCTAAGGACGTTCGGGAGGTTAGCGCCCGGTAGTTCGAGCCTCGGCAAGGCTCGGCATACCGGTCGGTCGAGGCTCGGATCTGATAGCTGGGCCAAGTACTGGTGGTTTAACAGAGAAAGGATGGATTCGGCCTAGCTCTTCTCCTTATGGTGCCCCTGTCCTATTTGTGCCCAAAAAGAAAGGTGAGTTGGGTCTCTGTATTGATTATAGAGTGTTGAATGCTGTCAATGTTAAGAAGAAAAAAAAAGAGAAGAATGTCGAACCTCTTGCACGAATTGACGACTTGTTGGACCAGTTGCAGGGCTGCAAGTTCTTCAGTAAAATTGATCTGAAGTCTGGATACCACCAGATCGAGGTGGATCCCGCAGATCAACACAAGACTGCATTCCGAACAAGGTATGGTCACTACGAGTTTGTGGTAATGCCTTTCRGACTGACTAATGCCCCAGCGACCTTCCAAAGATCTATGAATGAACTCTTTCSTCAATGGTTGGATCRGTTYGTCATTGTCTATCTCGATGACATTCTAGTGTATAGTAAGACACTAGAAGATCACGAGAAACACCTACGTCTAGTGTTAGCAAAGTTGCGYGAGGGCAACTTCAAGCTAAATCCAAAGAAGTCTGAATTTGCTAAGTCCGAAGTCTTATACTTAGGACATATAGTAAACGAAGATGGCCTAAGGCCAAAAGAAAAGAAGATATCAGCAATTAGATATTGGCCATGACCTAAGTCGATAACTGAACTAAGATCTTTCCTTGGTTTGGCAAGTTACTATAGGAAGTTCGTTAGGAACTTCTCACTGATCGCCGCACCAATGAGAAGATTATTGAAGAAAGAAAATGTTTGGTTGTGGGACAAAGACTGTGAGTCTTCGTTCAAAAAGTTCAAATATGCATTGACTCATTACCCAGTTCTGAAAATTGGTGACCGGTCTCTACCTTTCATTGTCACTACTGATGCAAGTCCGTATGGGATTGGCGTTGTTCTCCAGCAGGATGACGACAAGGGCTACAGACCCATAGAGTTTGTCTGCACGACTGTTGTCGGAAAAGGTTGCCAACTCCACCTATGAAAGGGAGTTGTATGCCTTGTGCACTAAACACATGGAAGCACTACTTATTAAGGAGGCACTTTACTGTGTACTCGGACCACTCTACTCTGAAGTGGATAAAGACACAACCTAGGTTTTTTTATAAGTTGGTACTATGGTCTGCGTTTATTGATACATTCGATTTTGAATTGAAAACTATCAAAGGTAAGTCTAATGTGGTTGCAGATGCATTGTCCAGACGGAGTGATTTCGTTGGTGCAATCGTCTTTTATTTGGATGTTGGGAGTGATTTGAAAGATAGAATTCGGCAAGGATATGCTACTGACCCTATTTGGAAGCCCATCATTCCTTGCAAAAGACCCAAATCTACTTCCCAACTACCGCGTAACCGATGGTATGCTTTTCTTGTTAGACCAGACTGAACAAAGATAATGTATTCCTCACAAGGAAGATATTAAAAGTTTGTTAATTGGGGAATGTTACGATTCTGAGGGTCATTTTGGATTCAAGAAAACTTGCGCAGAGGTTAGGGAGCGCTTTAAATGGAAGGGATTAAAGGAAGATGTACTAACTTACGTGCGTACCTGTCTGGTGTGTCAGAGAAACAAACCTTCACATGAGAAACCACTTGGTCTCCTGAAACCATTATCAATTCCTGAAACCATTATCAATTCTCAGTCGATTTTATGAGCCTCACCAAGAGCTGTAATGACAATAGTCAAGTAATGGTGGTTGTGGATCGTTTCTCTAAATATGCCATGTTTATTGAAGCAAGAACTGAACTTGTGATCCAAAAGTTTCAGATGCGATGCGTAACTGAATATGGGTTTCTCCTCTCCATTGTGTTTGATCGTGATGTAAGGTTCACAAGTATGTCATGGCAAAAGCTGATGGAAGCATACGGTACACGTTTGACCATGTCGTCAGGGCGACATCCTGAAACGAATGGACAAAGTGAGCAGATGAACCGATTGTGCCAACAACTCTTGCACATGTATGTGAGATCCGATCAGATTGATTGGGATGAGAACTTACCCAAAATAGTCAGTGCATATAACAACAGTGTTCATACCGCTACGGGTCGTACACCAAATGCATTGCACAAGGGGTGGAAACCTAGGCGTCCCATTGATGTATTAACGCGGGACCAGTTCCTTAGGTTACCTGCAGGGACACGAGAGTATGCCGTTTTGTGTCAAGAAGACATGAAGAAGGTAAAAGATAATTTAAAGAAAGCTCAGGACCAGATGATCGAACAAGCGAATAAACATCGTCGACCATCTACATTTAAGGAAGGTGATTTCGTCTGGGTAAAGTCCAAAGAGTTTGTCTCAGAAACTTTTGCCTGTCTATTTTGCATCCTGGGAAGTTCTCAAAGTAATAGGAGATGCAGGGGGACGTCGTATCGCATTGATATTCCTCCTCATCTCAAACTATAACCTGTCTTTCACGCGTCCAAAATGTTGCCCTATGTATTTCCAAACAGACCCTCTATGATTACGCCATCTATTGAAGGCAGATATGAGGTAGACAGAATCATAGAGCATGGTTACTTCTCTACGGGAGGACGCGGACGACCTCAAAAGCAGTTCAAGGTACGTTTTAAGTCTCAAGCACCATCTGAGGACAGATGGTTTAGTAAATGAGAACTACTTGAAGTTGAAACTGCTCCTGATATTGTCGCTGCTTTTGAACGAGGGTTAAAGTCTTAAATATTTCTGCGGTGGAACTCGAAAATGGGCCGGCAGGAATGTAGTAACCCTGTTCAGAAGTAGCCTGGGGCCCAGAACTCAGCCCCAGGCAACACAGACCTGAGTTGGTCTGCGCTGGGCTGTGTGACCAAGACACGCCCAGGCCTGAGTCTGTCGCGTATGRCTGTGYGACCGAACGCTGCACACAGGAAATTCAAGGGTCAAAGTCAACTGTAGAGTCAAAGGTACTGCACCCAGGCCCTTGGTTGGATACACTCACTTGTTGTGCGCAGGTACCCAGACAGCATCCAGGCCGGAGGGAATTCGGTTTCAGAACAATCTGGGCCCTCGYTTGCATTGAGATCTGGACGGTTGAGGGATGCAGCATTCGGGGTCCAGACCCGGCGTCAACGCTACATAAACGCTGACTTCCTGGCTTTGACATTCATTCTGTCTTGCGTTGATGCTGACTTCACGCGTTGACTTCAACGCTGGCTCGACGCTGCGACGCTGGCTTGACCCTGCGACGCTGGCATTGTGATTCGGCAAGGTGCTTCTGGTCCGGGTGGCTGGCTTGCACCTGTCTTCTTGGCATGCTGACGTGGCAGCTGCCATGCGCTGTCGCTGATGTGGCTGCTGCCACGTGTGTCATTGGCTGACGTGGCTGCTGCCACGTGTTCTGATGAAGCGAAGCTACGTGACTTGTATTGCTGTTCTGATTATCGTCATTCGGGAGGAGATCGGGACTGAGGAGAGATCGTGGATAGGTACCTGATGGTCTTCATGTCGACATTGCTCCAGTGCTAATGAGGGACTAATTAGACGTGCCACGTGACACATTGAGATTACTTCGGATACTCGTCCAGACTATTGATTATTGAGGTGGTGATTGAGGAGGGAACCCGAAGCAGGAGTGGGCCTATTTCCTCATCGTCTGTGTATGATTATCTCATCTCATTCTGTCTGGGCATGATTTTGACTATTGGTAATCAATACCTGGTTGACATTCATCTGGGCTTGCATTGTTGACGACCGTGCTTTGATGAACCGGTTAGCTGCAGATGTGCAGGAGTCGGGCAGGCTTTTCAAATAGGTGTTCCTGTGGGTTGCAAGGTTTACTTCTGGAGCACGGCCAGCCCACCCTGCACCATGTGTGGGGTTCCCATTTCACTGATGTGCTACTCCCTTAAAAGTGCTCCTGCCAACGTGTCTCCACATCACTTGGACTGTGATTAGGAATTTCCTCAGTGGTGTGATGTGGTGTAGTTTTGGAGTCTCTGATTGCCCAGAATGAGTCTTACGAGAGTACAAAAGGAATGGGAGTGGTGTGAATTCACTTCTTGTGATGTGTGGCTTGCAACCAGTGTGATGTGTTTTATGGATAATACTTACAAACTCCTTCCAGTGGATTGAGGATGCGCCTTTGCTGGAAATGGTGGGGAATGGCTACTATGCCATGCTTTTGCTATTGTCTGAACAGTTCCTGAAGAAATTACCAATGACAAAAGACCTTCAGAAACTTCATATATTGTTTTTTGTATGCAGGTACCCAAAAATCAATGACCCGGTCACAAGATGCACAATTGCTGCAAAAGCCCCTTTGCCTCTTTCAGAAGATTGTGAAAATAATGAAGATATGGCGCCACACAAAATGTCCTCCGCATTCCGAGGCCAGCTGGGGCCGATCTATCTGTTTGATGACGCCCTGTCATCCAACCAGGTTGCTGGTGTTGCCAGACTGGGGCCAGGGTACATGTACTCGTTCCTTCCCAATGAGTCCGGTTGTGTGCCAGAAAATGTCTCAGTGCATGGCATCATGGATGGGAAAGATGGCTTGGCACCGAGGATGGTGTTTGGGTTCAACGCTCAGGTTAGCATGCTGAACTCTTCACCATAGTTCTGAAATGAGTGGTATTAGAGTCGGCCGATATGTAATGTTGTTTCAGTTGTCTGTTTATATCAATCAATGTGGAATTCAATACTACATGAATCCCTTGGAGCTTGAGGAAGGTACCAACAAACTCCAGGAACATGTCGAGACTGCTTAAGGCTTTAGGAAGGTATCATACACAGGAACATGCTGAACATGCAGCCAACTGTTGAAATGAGCGGAATGAGATCGAGTTTATGTTATGCTTGTTTGTTTGTACTCTATCAATGCGGAATTATATGCCTACACTCAGTGTTGCACACCCCGACGGTCGGCGGCCCTTTACTGCTCGGGTGCCGACCAGCCGACCGGTCAGGTGGTCAGAACCTGCCAGTCGGAAGTCGGCGGCACCCCGCACAATTTTTTATTTTTTATTTTTTTTTGGGTCCAGAACCCTTAATAACCCCACCAACACCGCTGTGATGTGTGAAAACTCGCATGAGAGAGAGAGAGAGAGAGAGAGAGAGAGAGAGAGAGAGAGAGAGAGAGAGAGAACAAATAGCCCTTTTAACATTAAACAGAAAACCCCTGCGGGTAATCCTAGTGGCCCCTGCAAATTATTAGGAGGGGCCTCCTCTCCATGAAAGTGGCACTTCTTGAACAGATTGCAGGCCAGCAGCACACCAACTATGTATGGTGTACATTCACATTAAGGTCCGTGTTTCAGCAGTTATGGGAGCACGGAGCACATGATTATCTGTGCAGTAGCAGGCCAACTCACCACGTGATTTTCAGGGCTTCCCTACACTACTCGCTTATCTGGGCAGTAGCAGGCCAACTCACCATGTGATTTTCAGGGCTTCCTTCCACTACTTGCCAAATGTACAAAACTAGAATGATACTTCTGCTAGAACATGGAATCATACGCCGCCCTATGTTTTGTCTTTTGTGCAAGTGGTGACGAGTGGAGCCAGGCCTTTAGGGCCACTGCTTGTAGGAAAAGGAAAACAAAAGAAAGCAAGAGAGCTACGACAGTAAGTAGTTGTAGCCCATAACTGCTGGAACACAGACCTGAATTCGGATCCAGATGTTGGCCTGCTCCTCGCTCTTCCGAAATTTGTCGAGTGTCTCCGCTGAGATGTAAGAGCCCTGCAGATTCTGTGCTGGGGGCCCTTCAGAAAAAAAGCTATACGCAATGAGGAATACGGGGCCCTTTTTTTTTCTCTGCCCTTAAAATCTGTAGAAGGGAGGGGCACGTCTGGCTACCTCAGCCACCCCCAATACCCCTATGTACCCCCTCAGCACCTCCAAATTGCCCCCCAACACCCTCATTATCCCCCCCAAGTACCCCTTCTAACCCCCCTACATCCCCCCCTTAAGCCCTGCTACCTCCCCGCATCCCCAAAAGTTTCTCCGCGGATTTGGGCTGTACTCAGCAAGCGCAGTACAGTCCTTAACTCAGATTTGAAAAAAAAGTCAGTGGATCGCTGTTTTCTTGACTGGTCGGCAGACCGCCGACCGGTAGACCCTGCTGGTCGGCTGCAAAAAGGTCGGCGGTCGGGGTCGGCGGTCGGCAGGCATGCATCCCTGCTGACACTATTAAAATTGCTAATGTAACAAATCCTGAATCAGGGGTGTCATTACAAGAACGTAACGAATATCGAATCCAGTCCGCGGTGTCCTACCGGGTCGACGGCTTGAATCGCCACATGATCTTACGATTCGAAGACCGCACGGCAATCCAGGCTGTCGGCCTGATAGTACTGGGCCAACAGCTGTGATGGACCGGGAATAGGCCTACTGGTACCCGTAGGTCCTACTGCCATGTGTACGTGAGCACGAAGGGAGCTCGCAGTGGTTTTTTAGCTCTATTCTTGTGGACTTCCCGTACCCCCCCCCCCCCCCCC